TACCTAACCTAATTGCAGTGTCAGCCCCTCCCAGTAGGGAAACTTTAAACCAGTTTAGAATTGCTTGATAAGACCTTGGTCACCATTCCTCCAAAGAAAGGTGACCCAGCCTGAAACAATTCTTCCTTATCTTTTGCCAATAACTTTCTTGTTCTGCCCAGTTTCTGCTTATAAAAACCGTCCACTTAGTACAACTTCTCAGATGGTCCCAGATTCATAATTTGTTCAATAAAGCCAATTTGATTTTTACATTTACTCGGTTGAAATTGTGTTGTTTCACAGGGGAAACCAAATAACAGGTAATAAATAACCAAATAACCAGATTTCTGGGTGAAGGAGAGTGTGCTTGAGGGAGGTAGGAGTGGAGAGGAGAATAGTGTGGGGTGCAGGGAAGAGCAGGGCGGGGAAGGAGTGAGAGGAAGCAAATATTCTTAGCCCACTCACTGTCATTATGTGTGACCTCTCTCAAAGGAGGTGGAGGCCTTGTCTAGGTAGAAGTCATCATTCCTGGCAGGAGGAGGTGGCTCTAGTTTTACCCTTAGCCCCATCCTTTCCTTCTGCCTCTTTAGGAAGCGATCAGGAGACTAGATTTGCTCCATCACTGATAATAATCACAGTGCATTACAACAGCGATTTTCAATGGATGTTCTGCAAGAATTGTTAAAGCATGCAATTCCTGACTATTTAGTCAGGAGCCCTAACCCCTTTGCCTTTAGATGTTGAAATTTTAAAAAATATGACAACAGCCAACACAACAATAGCCATCCGATGTGAACGAATCAAAATTGTATCTATTTTTTTTTTGTCAGATTGGCAAAAAATATGACATTTTTTGGTGTGCCACAGAATTTTAGTCATTAGTTTATATGTGCCACGAAATGAAAAATGTTGAAAATTGCTGCATTATAACAATTTCAAAAGTGTGATTATGAAATTCAGCATAGATATGAACAAAGGCAAAAGGACTGACTGACAGACTAAAGAAATAGAGACATGACAAAGAACATATTTATTTAAAAATTGCATACCCGCTTGGCTGGCATGGCTCAGTGGTTGAACATCGACCTATGTTGACCATAACTGGAAGACTCTTTTTAAGTTCTCTTGCCAAAAAATGCTCCTATTCTTAATTTTTTCTTAGAATGTTCCCTGCCTTCTACTAGAAAGTTATTTTTTTTCCTGGATGATGCTGTTTCCATGAACTCTATGAAGTGGAGACTAGCTATTCCTGGTGAAGTCAGTATGGTCTAGTGGACTGAGAATGTTTCCCAGTCAGCACACTTAAGTTCAAGTCTGAACTACATCCTGGACAAGCTGTGTGTTCTTGGCTTAACTTCCCAGAACCTCAGTTTGCATACTGAGAAGCTTAAGGATCTCTGCCCCCCCAAGGTTATTGTGAATTAAAAAGGGGATACGTGGCCTGACATTATATATCCCATAGTATATTCCTGACTGTGTATTTTATAGTTACTTTCTTTTACTTGAAGAGCTGCCACTACTAGCATAGCCCATCTTCACTACAGTAATTGAATGTAGAGGGACATTTGGCTGTAAAATTATCCCACCCTTCACGCACCTGCAGTTTGGGCCCAGGAGAAGTTCTGTAAGGATTTCTGTCCTTTCCTTCTATACCTGAAATCCTCAGTATGTATCATTGAGTGTTCCTGGACCTATAACTTTGTCTTGCACCTTCCCTGAAAATCCCAAACTTGCAATTACCGTGACTTCATTTTCTTTGCTTCTTCTGCCAGGTTATTGGTATTAGTGAATATCACATATCCTATTGTGATTCATTAGCTTCTCTCTACACATTTATGATTTCAACTTTATCTCAATTCTGAATACTAACTGGGATTCTCATTACTCATTCCTAGGTGGTGCCCTTTTACAGTCTCCTCAACAAATGCTTTATATCTTTCCCGCTCTTTCCTCCCCACCAGTGGGAGGATGGTGGAGTGATTAAAAAAGCATTAGGAGTTCATTTCTGAGACGAATATGCTCTTGAATAAATAACACGGAGGCATTTAAAGGAAAAAAAAATCACACGGTTACCAAGTTTATAGTTAGTTTGTTTATGTGGATAAAACAGAAACTTCCCCACATAATTATCATATTTGTAAACATCAGTATTACAAATGTTAGGGAGCTTTTTACATTAGGAAGTCAGAATTGACAGGAAATGGCTTAAGCTTCATTGATTCGGGGAGACTAATTCTCGGTGAAATCTTCTTCCTTATTTCTAGGCTATCTCAGGGTGCAGGGTTTTTCCAGCCTGTCCAGCTGTGGCATCTGATCATTGTAGTCATAGTGATAGCTGGGCAAGGAATCAGTTTTGCTTTCTCTAAGTGGCCAACAGATGTGAATTCTCCTACATTCCATTTTTTTTATTAAAGAAATTCACTGGGCCACAGACCATTAAAAATGCAAGCTGCTGGCCTTTATCACCTAGAAATTCTGATTCAGTGGGTCTGGGATGGACCCGCTGAATCAGAATTTCTATAATATAAGAATTTGGTTTATAAATAATTACCTCAGGTGATTCTATGCAGCTCATCTTTTTAGAAACATAGAGGTAATTATATATTCACTTATTTTTACCTTCTTTTTGCTTCAAGAATATATATCCTATTTCTTTTCAAGGCGGATTTCATTATACGTGCTTTTGATTCTATTATTTCATTTCTTCTGGGTCTTTGAGTCATCAATGAACCTCCTTTTCTGGTATTGACAGTCTCTTCCTTTTCACAATTGCCTTCCCCTTGGCTTACAAATATTTTTCACTCATTTAATAAATTTTTATCAAGTGCCCCTTATGCTTCTGGCACATGCTTTAATTTTTTTTTAAAAAATACGTTTTTAATAAAAATATGTTTTTATTGATTTTAGAGAGAAAAAAAGGGTAGAAGGAGAGAGAAAAAAACATTGATGTGAGAGGGACATTGTTGGTTGTCTTTGGCATGTATCTCAATCTGGGATCGAACACACAACCTGGGCACATACCCTGACCTTACAGAACTTCTCCTGAGCCCAAACTGCAACTTTTCGACACAGGATGACGTTCAAACAACAGAGCTACACCAGCTAGGGCTAGATTTATCATTATCAGTGTTTTTCACTGACTTTCCTTCTCTGCCTACCTCACACTCCCCTTAAAGCCCTTTAATGCCTGCTTCCAGCTTGCTTTACCAAGCCTCAGTTCCTGCCCTCTGTGTTTCGGTCAAAGGCATGCACCCTTGGGTCCTTGAACACACTATTTCCGTAATATCTTCGCACATGAAGTTTCTTTGTCTGAGAAGTCTGGAATATTGCTTGGCAGATCTGTTAGTTATGTGCCTCAGAGCACCCACTGATTTAAGGTTTTCAGCATCTGGAATGCTCTGACTAGGATATGTAGATGAGGACTGAGCTAGGAGAGTGCTGCTCTGAGATCTTTGATGTTTGGAGTAAAGCACACAGGGTGAGAGAGTCAGAGAGTGCAGGAGTAGATGGGGGACAGGGCAAAATATGGAATTGTGGCTATTGCGGGGAATTGGATATAGGATCTTTGTCTTTTACTGAGTGGAAAACTGATGAGTGGTTGATTATAATAAGTCCATAGTGAACTTCAAATAAGGCGCGCACTAAGGAAAACTAGGTCAGAAATGTCACCCTCTGGAATTAAGCTAATGAGATTATTAAACATGAGGAGATAAGTTATCTGAAGCAGGGATCCTCCCTTAGAAATTGTTCCTAAGTGTGTTGCTAATGAACGAGGGTGTTTCTCAAGAGTCCCCCAGGGACAGTAAGTGTTGCATTGAGGGTAGGAAAAGGAGAGTCAGAGGCAGAGTTTCAGTTGGTGTGTTCCCAGCAGCGTCCAAAATGAGTTGTCTGTCTTATTATTGAGTTTTAATAATTTCTCATAAAATCTGGGTTATTCATAAAGGATAGAACCTTGAAAATAGCTATATGAGCTAGTTTCTATTCTGACCACATGTGTGTGAGAGTAAAGTGAAGCAGAGATGAGACAACCTTAGTGTTTGATCACTATTTTTTATTGTTAAATTTTAATGCAGTTCAGTTATTTGATACAAATATGTTATAGTCAAACCAAGGAACTATACAGCAGTGGCAGATTAATCTTTCTTTACTTCTGGGTTTAAAGGCTGTTTTCCTATGTGGAAAAGCCAATGAACTGTAGAGATAGATTGGAGCCATTGTATTTCTGTGGTATTGCTCTTCCAAAGTTTTTTATTTATTTATTATTATTATTTGTTTTTTTTAGGGTGTGTGTGTGTTTTACCTAGAGCAAATTCTCAGGCACACAAACATCTTTCTTGCTAAAACCAAGTCAGAGCCCTCATTTGGATTTCTTAATCCTGAACTGGTCTATCTCTGTTGTTTAAGAAATAATGCTCTCACTCACTAGCTAGGGAGAAACAAACACCTGATGGCACTTTTTAATGTGACATTAAACAAACACCTGTAGCTAACTAATGAAAGATGTACCTAAGAATAAGGGCTTGATGGTTTTGGTAAACTGGGAAACTTCCTACATTACATCTTTGCTTTTAGGATCTTCTTTTTGCTACCATCCATGTGGGGCACACCAAAAATTATGACCCATATTGATGTAAGAGAAGCTTTTGCTCCAGAACTGGTAATATAATTTTTTGCTTTTTAGAGATGCAGGCTTAGTTTGGCATAAATAATGAACAGTGAACTCTCAAAAAGACACCTTAACCAAAGTCCAGGCTCCTTAAATACTTTATATTAGGCTTCTACATTTAGGCCCACACATTATTTATTCAAATCAGGATTTCCTAGCAATGTAGCCCATATACCCTATATTCTTTGGAAGGAACCAAATAACAGTGAATAGAATGCAGTCAAATGAAAAAGATAGAAACAAATACATTTACTTTTAGAAAGACTCTTTATAATAAGTTGCTTGTCTGTTATAGTTTATTTTTTAAATTACTACTTGAGTTAATTTCACTTCTCTTTATTATTTATCACTAGAATTAACACCTGTGTTCTTGGACGTATTTATAGAGTGGAGTGCTGCTACTGAAACTGTGGGAACTTGAGTTGGTTCTTCCATCTCCACAGTTATTGCCTTCTGTCTGATAATAATAATAGCCATCTTGTCTATTATCCTCCTTGGACATTAATACTAAATTGGGTGTGTTGCCTCTAGGTTGTCCAAAGCCACAACTCAAGGAGCTTTCTACTTGTCTTTGTCCATGAATACTCTCATATCTATCAGACTCACTACTTTTTTCTTCTTCATTGTACCCTGACCATTCCTGGCTATTTCTTCTTGATTGATTGGGGGTTGAGGATTTACTGTCCTCATCATGAGTACCACTTGAAATTGACTCACATCTTCCTTGTAATTCATGTTGCTCATAGCTAGGACACCAAGTAGACCCAGAGCCACATTGTTTAGGGCAAGGTGAATGACATGAGCCATAACCATATTGTTCTGTGTCAGAATACTGACCAGATCCCAAATCATATTGTTCAGAGCTAGATGAGTGAGATGAACCAAACCCAGATTGTTCAGTGCCAGAATACTGACCAGATCCAAAGCCACATTGTTCAGAGCTAGATGAATGAGATGAGCCAGACCCATATTGTCCAGTGCCAGAATACTGACCAGATGCAAACCCAGATTGTTTAGAGCTAGAACATAGACCCGAGCCACATCCATGTTGAATATGTTGAGAGGCATATCTGTGTTGGCCACAGCTAGAAGGCTGACTCCATCCACATCCAGATTGGCTATAAGGCTGACCTGAGCCAGAACCATGTTGACCACAACTAGAAGATTGACCTGAGCCATACTCATGTTGACCATAGCTAGAAGACTGACCTGAGCCAGAACCATGTTGACCACAGCTAGAAGACTGACCTGAGCCAGAACCATGTTGACCATAGCTAGAAGACTGACCTGAGCCATAACCATGTTGACCACAGCTAGAAGACTGACCTGAGCCAGAACCATGTTGACCACAGCTAGAAGACTGACCTGAGCCATACCCATGTTGGCCATAGCTAGAAGACTGACCTGAGCCAGAACCGTGTTGGCCATAGCTAGAAGACTGACCTGAGCCATACCCATGTTGGCCATAGCTAGAAGACTGACCTGAGCCAGAACCGTGTTGACCATAGCTAGAAGACTGACCTGAGCCAGAACCATGTTGACCATAGCTAGAAGACTGACCTGAGCCATACCCATGTTGGCCATAGCTAGAAGACTGACCTGAGCCAGAACCATGTTGACCACAGCTAGAAGACTGACCTGAGCCATACCCATGTTGGCCATAGCTAGAACACTGACCTGAGCCAGAACTGTGTTGGCCATAGCTAGAAGACTGACCTGAGCCATACCCATGTTGGCCATAGCTAGAAGACTGACCTGAGCCAGAACCCTGTTGACCATAGCTAGAAGACTGACCTGAGCCAGAACCGTGTTGGCCATAGCTAGAAGACTGACCTGAGCCATGCTCATGTTGACCATAGCTAGAAGACTGACCTGAGCCAGAACCATGTTGACCATAGCTAGAAGACTGACCTGAGCCAGAACCGTGTTGACCATAGCTAGAAGACTGACCCGAGCCAGAACCATGTTGACCATAGCTAGAAGACTGACCTGAGCCATACCCATGTTGACTATAACTAGAGGATTGACCTGATCCAGATCCATGTTGTCCAAAGCCAGAAGATTGACCTGAGCTATGTCTGTGTTGTCCAGAGCCAGAGGATTGACCTGATCCATATCTATGTCGGCCAAAGCCAGAAGATTGACCTGATCCATACTTACGTTGGCTATGGCTAGAAGATTGACTTGAACCAGACCTGTGTCGGCCATAGCTAGAAGATTGACTTGAGCCAGACCTGTGTCGGCCATAGCCAGAGGTTTGACCTGATTCAGATCCACGTTGTCCATAGCTAGAAGACTGACCTGAGCCAGAACCGTGTTGACCATAGCTAGAAGACTGACCTGAGCCAGAACCGTGTTGACCATAGCTAGAAGACTGACCTGAGCCAGAACCGTGTTGACCATAGCTAGAAGACTGACCTGAGCCATACTCATGTTGACCATAGCTAGAAGACTGACCTGAGCCAGAACCATGTTGGCCATAGCTAGAAGACTGACCTGAGCCAGAACCATGTTGACCACAGCTAGAAGACTGATCCAAGCCAGAACCGTGTTGACCATAGCTAGAAGACTGACCTGAGCCATGCTCATGTTGACCATAGCTAGAAGACTGACCTGAGCCAGAACCGTGTTGGCCATAGCTAGAAGACTGACCTGAGCCATACCCATGTTGGCCATAGCTAGAAGACTGACCCGAGCCAGAACCATGTTGACCATAGCTAGAAGACTGACCTGAGCCATACCCATGTTGACTATAACTAGAGGATTGACCTGATCCAGATCCATGTTGTCCAAAGCCAGAAGATTGACCTGAGCTATGTCTGTGTTGTCCAGAGCCAGAGGATTGACCTGATCCATATCTATGTCGGCCAAAGCCAGAAGATTGACCTGATCCATACTTACGTTGGCTATGGCTAGAAGATTGACTTGAACCAGACCTGTGTCGGCCATAGCTAGAAGATTGACTTGAGCCAGACCTGTGTCGGCAATAGCCAGAGGTTTGACCTGATTCAGATCCACGTTGACCATAGCTAGAAGACTGACCTGAGCCAGAACCGTGTTGACCATAGCTAGAAGACTGACCTGAGCCAGAACCGTGTTGACCATAGCTAGAAGACTGACCTGAGCCAGAACCGTGTTGACCATAGCTAGAAGACTGACCTGAGCCATACTCATGTTGACCATAGCTAGAAGACTGACCTGAGCCATACCCATGTTGGCCATAGCTAGAAGACTGACCTGAGCCAGAACCATGTTGACCACAGCTAGAAGACTGATCCAAGCCAGAACCGTGTTGACCATAGCTAGAAGACTGACCTGAGCCATGCTCATGTTGACCATAGCTAGAAGACTGACCTGAGCCAGAACCGTGTTGGCCATAGCTAGAAGACTGACCTGAGCCATACCCATGTTGGCCATAGCTAGAAGACTGACCTGAGCCAGAACCGTGTTGACCACAACTAGAAGACTGACCTGAGCCAGAACCGTGTTGGCCATAGCTAGAAGACTGACCTGAGCCAGAACCATGTTGACCATAACTAGAGGATTGACCTGATCCAGATCCATGTTGTCCAAAGCCAGAAGATTGACCTGAGCTATGTCTGTGTTGTCCAGAGCCAGAAGATTGACCTGATCCATATCTATGTCGGCCATAGCCAGAAGATTGACCTGATCCATACTTATGTTGGCTATGGCTAGAAGATTGACTTGAACCAGACCTGTGTCGGCCATAGCCGGAGGTTTGACCTGATTCAGACCCATGTTGTCCATAGCTGGAAGCCTGGCCTAATCCTGATCCATGTTGGCCATAGCTAGAAGACTGACCTGAGCCTGACCCATGACCATAACCAATGGGCTCATTTGAACTTGACCAGTTGTCTTGTCCTCCACAACTCCCTGAGCTGAATCCATGATGTTGACTTGAATTCTCATGTTGTCTATTTCCTAAAGATTCATTTGACTGAGACCCACGTTGGTCAGAACTGAAAGACCGATCCTCTGAGTGGGAAACATGCCCTTGTTCTCCATAACCTCCTGACTGATTTGCTGAGTGTGATCTTTTTCTATAGTTATTTGACTGAGTGTGACCATCTTCGTCACTCGCAGACCTTTCTTTCTGATGAGAGCCATACTTATTTTTCTTAATATTCTTGAAGTGGCCCGAGTTTGACTCTCTCCATCTTTCCCCAGAGCTATGCCTGTGTCCCAAATTAGATGAACCTCCTTCATGCCCAATTCTTCTGGAGCTGGATTGAGGCCTGGAGCTCCTGGAATAGGAATCATTCTCTCCTGCACTCCACTTTGAATGGCTGGAAGACGATTCTTCCCCATTGTTCTTTTCTGTTTCACTATGTTCCTCTTGGTGCTGGTGACTGTGATCTCTTTGCTTTGACCCTGAAGCTTGGCAGTAATCTTTGCCGATGATTTTATTACAAGCCTGAGCCAGCTGGAATATCATCAGAAGATACTCAGTAAAGTCCACTTTCTTGTTATGGTCTCGATCCAGACTTTGCATGATGATATCTACAGTTTCTGGATCATCTGGGTTCTGTATAGGAACAAGGTACAAAGGGAAGCTCTGTGAATATGGACCACATACCCAGCTAACCAATTGAAGAAAGGCTGTAGAAGTGTGAGAGCTTGGCTTACATAGGTTAAAACACATAGTCCTTTAGGCTAGACTATACTATCCTGAGCACGAGGAAAGGAAATATGCAATGAATAATGCAGTGAGAAATAGAAGAATGTGCAACTGGAAGATTATTTTTTGTAAGGAATGGGTCAAATATAGATGATTAGCTAATTTATAAATAATAATTTTGGATATTCATATTAATTATATATGATTTTTCTTGATTTGTTCATCCTTATTCATTAACTCATTAATTCATTTACTCATTCAAAAAATTTATTTTGCACCTACTACCTGCCTCTCATTCAGTTAAGTGCAATGAGTAAGTTTGGTTCTTGACAAAATGGAACTTAAAGTCTAGTGGGCCAGACACACAAACTTAAAAATCACAGTTTATTGTGATGTTTCTATAAGAATATACCAGAGGGGAGCCACTGGGGGTTTAAGGAAGGTTAATGAGGGGAAGTGATATATTTCGAAGGATGGATTGGACCCAGGTAGAGGGAACAATATGAACAAAAGAATTGGAGGTAAGAGAAGACATGGCTCATATAGAAAGAACTGAAAGAAATTCAGGATTGCTAAATTAAGAGCATCAGCAGTCAAGAGATGTGCTAGAGAGGTAAGTATGGAGCAAATCATGCCTTTGAAGATACATTAAGTAACTTTGGACTTTATTTTAAAGAACTGGGAGCTGCTGAAAGATTTTGAAATGAGTGTGAAATGATTAGATTTATGTGTAATGCTGAGATTCGAAGTAAGAAATGGCTTGAACCAGCAATAGTGATGGGGTGAAATGGGCAGATTGAGATACTGTGATGAATTTGATGGAGGTTGGAGGGTGGAGGAGCAAGCTGAGAGAGGAAGTTAAAATGGCACCAAATTTTTGCTTTGGGCACACAGGAGGAGAGGTTAAGTTTTGTATCTGACATCCTGAATTTGAGACATTGATAAAAATCCAAATGAAAATATTTACTATGTAGCTGGATTCAATGAGTTGGAGGTCAAGAACTACATCTAAGCTCTAAATATTTATTTCCAGAACCGACATTTTAAGATGGTGGTCACCCTCTTTCATGATTTAGGAGTAAGATGCTAATTTCTTGAACTCAGAGGCTTTATGTCTCCATCTCAGAAATGGGCTGCGGTCAGGATGTTTTGGGCTGAAGAAAGACTAAAAACGGGAAGAAGATTCATTTTACCTACTTTTCAGTTTTTCTGAGGACCATCTCGGTTGTTGTTCCAGAAGAATTACTCACTTAGGACATTTAATCTATGATTTTTTTAAATAGGGTCACTTTCTTGGTCATGTTATGGAAACCATTACAGGGGTCAACGTTTGACCTTGTTTTAAACCCTGTTCTCTGTTACTAGGTAGGGAGAATCATCTAGGAATTTGATATATGTGACAAAAAGTAGAAAAGGAGAAGAAGGGAATTGCAGTGTTTTAGTCCTGATATGGACTTATATCTTACCTTCATAATTTGATGGAATTCATTTTCCAAAAATACTTTCATTTCTCCCTTGTTCAACATGGCACACTCCTCATCATTGGTGGCATATTGATAGAAAACTTCGATGACAGAGACAATGCTTTGTAGGAGTTTAGGCATCTTTTTGGAGATTTAATTAACCTAAAAGGGAAGAAAAGGAGAGACCACCTGTTATATTATTCCTTTTTCTTGTTTAAATACATAAGTAGTTTCAATTATTTGTAAAAATGGTTCAGAATCAATGAGGGATGATTAATTCCGTTATGATCAAGAGCCAATTCAGAGTTAAATGACTTATTCAAATCCTATAGCAAGAAAGTGGTGAAATTAGGAACAGAAACTATATCTCATATTTCCGTTTCTGAATGAATATAGGAGTGATGACTTCTTTTTTGATCTCTTTGCCTCTACCAGGGATAATTTTTAGCAACTTTGTTCTGGAGCTGTAGAAGTCCTGGGTGTGCCAATCCATCCATTTCCTCAGTTCCTTTCTAGGTTTCAACCATCACACTAAGGAAGGACAAGTCTATTATCTACATGGCATGCCTGAGTCCAACTAAGGGGTATCTACAGGCATGCCATGTAGATAATTTCCTGAAAATTTGGACTCAGGCATGCCATGTAGATAAATTTCCTGAAAATAACATGCTATTTCATGTTTTTTTTCTGGAGGGTCTAAACTAGGTCCTCCAGACTTCTAGGCCAGAGAAAGTAAATAAAGTGGGTAAAGACAACAACAGGCCTAGGTGAGATGGAGCTGGGGGCAGCTGCTATCTGGCTCAGCTTCTGTTTTCATTATCTAAGAGGTGCTGACCCCAGGTTTTACTAATTAGACGACAGAGAGAAAAAGCTTAGTTAGTAAAGGAGGCAACCTGCCTACTGGATAATTTTGAGCCCATGATCATTAAGGAAATGACCCCAAAGAAAGCTGATACTATCAGTCCCACGTATTTCTTCATTTTTCTTCTCAATAAAATTAAACTTATACCAAAGTTCTCCAAAGTATATTCAAAAGAAGCCTGGTACCCAGTGCCTCTTTGCCGTAGAGCCCATCCCAGATTCTGGTAACTTATAGCTCTAAATACTGCTCACTTACCTAGTACACCAGAGGAACAAGTAGGATGGAGGCTGAAGCAGCTTACAGGGTGCTGCTAGATACAGATAGTGGCCTTTTTATAGAGGGAGTAATGATCCATTTCAGGGAGGAGCTGCTCCCTTTGAGATGTCCTAATTTACTCTCAAGTAAGCCCAGCTCCACCTCCATCTCCACCTCCTAGTGTTTATCTTCTTACTCCCTTACTTGTTCACCTGAGATTGCATTAGCAGCTCCCAAATCTGGGCGAGTACCAGCCCTACCTGTCAGAGTCTCTGGACACTGAAGAAAGACTTTTTGCATATCCAATGAAATATCTACGTAGCACAATGCATTGAAAACAAATTATGTGGATTTAACTGAAGTTGAGCGGAATGTGTGCAGGGACATCAGGGAACAAATATCAGATTCATGGAATCTGATTTTTAAAAGGAAGCTTAAAGATCATCTGATCAAAAAAAATTTTTTTTTTAGCCAAAGCTGGTTTGGCTCAGTGGATAGAGCATCGGCCTGCGGACTGAAGGGTCCCGGTTTCGATTCCGGTCAAGGCATGTACCTTGGCTGTGGGCACATCCCCAGTAGGGGGAGTGCAAGAGGCAGCTGATTGATGATTCTCTCGCATCATGTTTCTAACTCTCTATCCCTCTCTCTTCCTCTCTGTAAAAAAACAATAAAATACATTAAAAAAATTTTTAAAGCTAAATTTTCTTATGCAGGATTCCACCCATGATATTATTACCTCTTTAAATAGAAATGGCGGCAGAGGCCTTCTTGTTTTTTGTTTTTTTTTTTTTTTAAATTTAATTCTCTTTATCAGACTTTAGTGGCCATTTGTCAATGTGGCTTTCATTTTAGCCACTATATAACCTTAAGAAGAAATGCATGCTCTTTAGCATAGTATTCAAGGTTCCTCATGATTTGGGCTGTGGCTTCTCTCTAGCCCCATCTTCTCTCTTCCTCTTCCTCTTAATGCCTCACCAGTGATCAACTACTTAAATTTCCTGAAAATAACATGCTATTTCATGTTTTTTCCTGGAATATCTTTTCTCATTATCTGCCTAGTGAACTCTTATCCATTCTTAAAAACCCACATTAGACACCCTGTAAGAAATCTGCCTTGAATTACTCAGGAGTTATTAATTGTGTACCTTATTTATAATTCTATAGTAGTATCAATCAAACTATATTATAATTTTCTAAAATAGTTTTACTATGAAATTAATGTTTAATACAAAAATTAAAAATATAGATAAACAAAAAGAAAGTGACAATACCTTTAATCCTATTACTCAGAAATAGCTACTGTTAATTATTTAGTTTATATCCTTAAATACACACACACACACACACACACACATATTTGTCTATTTGCCTATATCAATTCTGGACTATGAGCTTGAGAATAGGGAATGGGCATCATTATTCCTTATGTCATTTGGAGACTAAGCAAATTTCTTGGCAATGAAGGTCCCCAGTAAATGTTGGTCAAATTGAATTGAATTGGAAAAAGGAGTGAGGGCTATGACTACAGTGATCTTCACTGATCAACTTATACTTTTTCACAGGATTAGAGCCTTCCCTCTCTCTTGCCATTGTTACCTCATAGGACATTATTTCACCTGAATCTAGACTGAATCTTAGCATTGGAATCCATGAGTGCCTTTCTGCTTATCTCTGAGGTCTTTGCTCTGCACTCCATCACTGTAAACATTGTAACACAAATTTCACTAAAGCTGAGTGAAATTATATAGACTTAAAACTTTTGCAACACAACCATCAGGATTTTGGGAGGAGTGGTAGCAATTATTGGCAAATGATAAATCACACGTTTCAAAATTCAACCATTATTATGATATATGTTTTCTTCTAAGAACTACCCATAGGGCTGCAGAGCCAGTATCCATCCATTCAGAGGCCCAGTTTCCTCTGGACACCTGATTTGGGCCAGGTCATCAAACTTCATCAGAGGAAAGATCTTTATAAAGGTGTGACTGAGACTGTGGGAGTGCAAGGGAGGTGGAATTTGCTAAGTGAAGACTAATTTCCTGCAGGAGCGGGCTGTTGCCAAAGAGGAAGGACAGGGTGAGGTGAGGTGAAGACTACTCCAGGTGGACATGCTCTTGGGATGAGTGTTCTCCTGAATTAGGGGCCAGCAAACTATTAGGGGCTAGAGAGTAAATATTATAGTCTTCGCGGGCCCCATGGACCTCCTTACAACTATTGAACTCTGTTCTTGTAGCATGAAAGCAGCCATAGGTGATATATCAGTGAATGAACATAGCTGTGTTTCAATAAAACATATTTATCGACACTGACCTTTACATTTCATAAAACTTCACAATTTTTTTTTCAACTACTGTAGAAAATGTTTATAGTTTGTGGGCCATCCATAAATTGGCGATGAGCTAGGTTTGGCCTGTGAGCTGTAGTTTGCCACCCCTGGCCCTCTTCTGTATTTGCTTGTTAGGAAGATTTGTCAGGAAAGGAGAATCTGAGGGAGGAGAAGTGCTGGGAAGTGTTGGATATCAGAACCAATAATTCTGTGTGAGAGAAAAGGTGCATGTCTGAGAATGTTGGCGTGTCTGAGGTGGTAGGTAAAGGAAACAGAATAAGGGACCTTTGAGTGCTCATAAGAGTAAGGTAGATTTTGACTTGATGTAAGTAAGAAATTCTTAACATCTGTGTTGGTTGAAAATGCAATGAACTCTTTGCAAGGTAATCGAGTTTATTGTCTGGAATATTGTAGAATCTGTCATTTCTCATGTAAGCAGTTTTAATCCTTTCAGTGTTTTGTTTTCTGAATATTCTCCAATGTCACCAACCAAAGTTTTGTTGAGGTTTATTTATTGGTTTGTGTCACGAAAACAGGAAGTATATTTAATGTATCTTTTGGCCTCTTCTCTCCCTTTTGAGAATTTCTAGTGTAAGAATTGGGAGTTGATTCCCACAAAGGTCCTTTCCAAAACTGAGAATCATGATTTTACCAGAGCATGTATTCCACAGTCTTAGGGTGGGTGTGAAGAGTTTGGTTAGTAGTTTCCCCCTTGGAGATGACAGGGTTCAGGAGAAGAGATTTCTTATGGTATGTGTTATATTTTAGGTTTTTCAGTGCCACCATGTATTGGCAGAAGAAAGGAAGTTGCATTTTCCATTATGCCAAACACAGTGCTCTAAGTATATAATTTTATTAATTCTCACAACAGCTGTATGTTGTAGGTATTATTACTTCCATTTTTCAGATGAGAAAACTGAGGCCTAGAGAATACATGTAAGTTGTTTCAAGTCACTTAGCAATTTGAATATTGAGAAGACAATATTCAAACTCAGATCTGCTTCTGTCTAGGAATAGCCAGGGAGTAGAGATTATTCATGCAAAAGGCAAGAGGGTTGGGGGAAAGTTTTTGAGGAATGGAGTGTTTGACCTGAAGAGAAAACCAACCAACCAACCAACCAACCAACCAACCAACTAACCAATCAACCAACCAAAATTAGTGAAGATAATCTGTGAAGTTCCCTTCCACAGCTGTTTTCACTTGTGCTCCTATGGAAGGCAGAGTAGTATTCCTATAGTGCCATCTGGTGGGCTATTGGGAAATTCTACAGAAAGCTTTTCTCCTTGACCTCTTCTCTCACTTCCGCCAAGCAATTTCTTACAGTTCTCAGTCTCCATGAATGAGGAGACTATGCAAAAAATAAGTACATAACAAGCAAAGAACGTTGGTTGTAATGATTTTGGGGTGAGTGGAGTCAAAAGAAGTTAGCTATAAAATAAAACTGGTCAGCAAGCATTTCCTTCCATATCCTTCTCACCAGGTACAAGGGCCATTTTTTTTTTAATTTCAAAAAATCAAAAATGGATCTGATATAATTTAATATCTTAGCATTAAGGGGAAGGGGACTTCAGCAAGCATGATGATACATCTTTCAGCTCCAAATCCAAACCCTGAAATATACTCGGCTTGAGTATTGTTCTTCCTATTCAGTTGTTTCTCTTTGTGTTCTTATTTTTCCTTTTCTCCTCCAAGACCTCATAAATGCCCAGATGCTAGGAATCCATAGCCTATTCTTACTTGTATACTCTTACTTATTTTGTTAACAGGTTTCTCTTTCCACCTCCCTAACTTACTGCTTGATGATCTCATGATCATTTATGGCCTGTAGTCTTTAGTTCCTTCTTTATTGAGGCTTTCTGCACGTAGGACTTAAAGTGGAAAGATGGAGGAGAGTGGATGGAAATGTTCCCCAGGGGCCATAAAATATTATAGAGGTAGTACAAAAGGCCTGCTAGCATGGGAGATATCAGAGAGGACTTCAGAGCCCCACAGAGTCTGTCCAAGATTCTGCAGGAAGGTCAAGTTCAGCAGGGTATAGCTGCTGGGGAGGGTTGGGCTAATGGATCTTTCATGATGGGGAGGTGCTAGTCAGGCTTGAGGGAAGTTTAGGGGAGTGGTGCCCACCCCAGAGCCACACAACTTAGTCCATCCTGGATTCTTCCCAGAACTTGGCAGGGAGGGTGGGAGGCACCAGGAGTCAGGAGGCTGAGATTGCTGGGAGCCTTGAGAATGGGCCTAGCAGATCTCCTGTGAGGGGGAGATTCACAGGAATGTTGGGACAATAGCCCCTGCCCCAAAGCCACACCACTCAGTCATAGACACCTCCTGTGTCTGGCCAGACCTTTATATCCCAGCCCAGGCAGCTAACTCTCAGGAGGCATGACTCCATAGGGTGGGGCAGGGCTATTGCATTTCCCTGGGTTGATCCCATAGAAAATGAGTGCTCCACCCAAGAAAGATGGTTTCTGTGGTGTGGTAAAGGAATTCAACACAGGGGTCCTGCCGGCTGTCCGTTCAGGGCTCTCCCCAGAGTCACCAACCCCAGTCTCTCCTCACATGACTCTAGTCTGCTCTGCCCTCCCTCCACTGGAGCAGAGGGTGAATGGCTGCAAATGAGATTGTGTTTTGGCTCTTTAGGAGGGTACCTGTGTCCCTAGCAGACTCTGGTCTCTCCCTGGCAGGAGTCTGCTAGAATCCTTGCTGATTTTCACAGCCAGATGTTATGTGGGTACCTTTTTGTATATTGATTTTGTATGTGCAACTTTACTGTTTTTTTTTTAATTTTAAAAAATATTTTATTGATTTTTTTACAGAGAGAAAGGGAGAGGGATAAAGAGCTAGAAACATCAATGAGAGAAAAACATAGATCAGCTGCCTCCTGCACACCCCCCTACTGGGGATGTGCCCACAACCAAGGTACATGCCCTTGACCTGAATTGAACCAGGGACCTTTCAGTCTGCAGGCCAATGCTCTATCCACTGAGCCAAACTGGTTTTGCTCCAACTTTATTGTGTTTGTTTATTGTTTTTAATAGTTATTATTATTTTTTTGTGTGTGTGTGTGTGTAGTTTTTAGGTTTTTTTTTTTAATGTATAGAATCATTTCATCTGCAAATAATGACAGTTTTACTTCTGTATTTGGATGTTTTTTATTTCTTTTTCTGGGTAGTACTGTGTTGAATAATAGTGGCAAGAATGAGCATCCTTATCTTGTTCCTTAGAAAAGCTTTTAATTTTTTACCATTGAGTATAATATTAGCTGAGGGTTTGTCATATATGGCCTTTATCCTGTCGGTACTTTCCTTCTATGCCTATTTTATTGAGTGTTTAAAAAAAATCATAAATGGATGTTGTATCTTGTCATTATGCTAATTGAAATAAGCCAGTCACAAAAAGAGAAGTATTTTATGATTCCATTTATATGAAATATCTAAAGTAGTCAAATTAATAGAATCAGAAAGTAGAATGGTGGTTGCTATGGGGTAAGGGAAGAGGAAATAAGGAATTTTTGTATAATGGATATAAAGATTCAGTTGGGCAAGATGAAAAAAATCTGGAGATTAGTTGTGTCACAATGTGAATATACTTATCTCTACTGAACTGTGCATGAAAATAGTTGATTCACATGCAAGGGAGTGTATGGTAATTTTGTCCTTGAGTGGGCAGGGATATGAAAGAAAACAATTTCAGTTGTCTGTTTATGGGTTCTTTACAAAATATCGAGAGTTTTGCTTAGAGGTGTATATCTCTGTTGTAAGGTCAGTCAGTGTCTTTCCATCAATACTTCCCTCCTTGGGTAGCCAGGTCTGCACTGTCTCTCTCATTCTAACTTTTATCTTCAGCCTGTCAGTTAGGCTTGACTACTCTAGAGAAAGAAGGGTCTCGGTGGTAGCTGAAGAGCTGGTTGTGAGACTGTAGGCAAGGTGACAAATAGTGACTCATAAGAGAGGCGGTGGCTCCATTATCTGTGTCAGTGGCAACTCAATGAAGTCAGCAGGTCTGGCACCTTCTGGATTTTGCAGCTTGTATGGGAATTTAGGGACAGCACTTTAAGCAGGGAAGCAGGGGGACCAGTAGGTGGATCAGATTCCCTTTGAGTGGCTTGTGGAGCACAAACATAACATGATATTATTTGAGGCTAATGAGAAAAATGAAGTTGTTGCTTTTTATTTACTCCCTTATCCACATTGGGGATCATTTAAACTTTGACAATTTCACTTTAGCTTGATTTATTAAAGCAATAGTGAAAAAAAAAAAAAAGACAGCTTTTGTAAGTGTGCTTATAAAACCATTAAGTAGAGAATTAAAAAAGACTTGAGCTCTAGTTGTTATTGTGGTGCAGATTATTTGTGTGATGGACTCATCTGCTAAATGTGAACAATGGTCTAGGTATTCTCTGAATCCCCGCTGGTCTCCTATTACAAAGGAGGAATCTAGGATACAATTCACACGGAGGGATTTTTTTTCTAATGATAGAATCTTGTTCACATGATTCCTATTTTTCCCCTTATCTCTTTATCCACTGGACTAACTCATGAAGTACATGAATTTTCTTTCCAGGAAGGAGAACGTTTTCTTTATTGATTTCCAATAAATTTTAGCACAATTTTTCTGCTCTCATTAGTCTCCATTGGAAAACATTTCCTAGTGTCTTGGAAAAAGGTTCTATGGACAGTAGTTTGTGTTTCCTAATCTTGGTTTGACTTGGATAATAGCCATCTGGGTTGATGTTTTGATAATAATTATGATTCCATTAACAATTGAGATAAGCCTTTTCCACCCTGTAGGTGACAAAGTGGAACAATGGTTATGTTACAGAAAAACATAGGATTTGATTAAGTACTTTCTTCTTTAGACTCCTTAATATTTTTGCATGCTGTGTAACTAGGATTTGGTTATACAGGTTGCTAATGATGAGGAAAAGATTGTAATTCAGACCATGCAGAAAAAAGTCTTTCGGGGTTTATGAGAAATAAGCATAGAAGACACAAATTATGGTATATGATAAATTGTTTATTTTCAGTTTTTATGCAATTCATTTTATGAATTCTACATGCTGAAAGGTGATTTTAATGAATACAGAGTAATACACAGTTCCAATAGAAGCATAATAGAAGTACCTGTAATTAGCCACGATAGTAGTATAGCAGCTTTGGACTCAGGAATGATGATTTTATAATTTTGACCCCATTTTTAAAATTTTGGCAAAAATTATACTATGAAACAGAAGAATTTCTAAATTTTAATCCCTCAAAAATTATTACATAAACCTATTTACCAAAATAGTCATACATTTCATAATTTCTCTGTCCATAACATTGCTTTTTTCCATTCACCATTTTAAAGTTATAAAGATAAAACTTTCCCAGAGAATGAGAAGAAACCACCACCAAAGAAAAGTAGATAATATGTTAAAAAGATAATAGAAGATAACCTATGTGTAAGTATAATGAAACATTCTTGATTCAAATTTCTGTTGTTCCTCTCTTACTCTTTGAATTAATTACATTTCTATTGTCTCTCACTCAGAATAAAAGTATTGTTGTTTAAATCCCCCCTGCCTTAAACTATCACCTGACTGACCATATGTCACAGGATTTATATAACTGCCTAATGTATTGGATCTTGAAAAGTCTTCTCCATAGAGAGGTCTGTGTATAAATCCCACGTGACGGGATTTAGGTATTCCAACTTTAGTCTCACTGGCCTGAATAATATTGAATCCATGGTGCCTACTGTTAACAGATTGAGCTGAACTATCTCCATTTCCATTTCTTGAGTTTCTGGAGCTACCACCTTCCTGTTCATGCTGGTGTCTCTGTATATGTGTACTGCCAGATCCTGACGCACCATGGGAAGATTGGGACAACCTGTTGCTGGCTGTTGGCCCTTCATAGGACCCCAAGAGCCTAGTGCTATCTCCAGATTGTCCATGGGAGGACGCATGATGTTGTCTTGAACTGGATCCAGTCCTATCATAGGTTGAGCCAGACTGTCTACCCGAATGGCCAGAGTGTCCTTCGCTGTCGCTGGCCTGACTGCTAGTGGATCCCCGACGTGTGGTGGTCCTGGACCCAGAAGCTGATTGTCCACTTCCAGTGCCCGAGTGTGTGTGGCTGTCAAGGGTCTGGCCGTGCTGTGACTGGTGTCTTCCTCCTGTGCTCTGTCCGGACGATCCACGGGATGAGCCGTGGTGTCCCCGAGAGGATGTGTCTGCATGATGCCTAGAGGTGTCTGTGGAGCGTCGATGACTATGTCCCTGTCTTGTTCCTGCATCAGAGTCTGGGTGTCCCTGGGTGTACTCAGGGTTCCCATGCTGGGCTCTATGCCATCCATGGGAGCCAGAGTGTGGAGAACTGTCTCTTGACTGGCCATGGCTAGACCCAGGGTGTTGTCTTGAAGTGGATCCAGTCCTGTCATGGGTAGAGCCAGACTGTCTACCTGAATTGCCAGAGTGTCCTTCGCTGTCGCTGGCCTGACTGCTAGTGGATCCCCGACGTGTGGTGGTCCTGGACCCAGAAGCTGATTGTCCACGTCCAGTGCCCGAGTGTGTGTGGCTGTCAAGGGTCTGGCCGTGCTGTGACTGGTGTCTTCCTCCTGTGCTCTGTCCGGACGATCCACGGGATGAGCCGTGGTGTCCCCGAGAGGATGTGTCTGCATGATGCCCAGAGGTGTCTGTGGAGCGTCGATGACTATGTCCCTGTCTTGTTCCTGCATCAGAGTCTGGGTGTCCCTGGGTGTCCTCAGGGTGCCCATGCTGGGCTCTGTGCCCTCCATGGGAGCCAGAGTGTGTAGAACTGTCTCTTGACTGGCCATGGCTAGACCCAGGGTGTTGTCTTGAAGTGGATCCAGTCCTGTCATGGGTAGAGCCAGACTGTCTACCTGAATGGCCAGAGTGTCCTTCGCTGTCGCTGGCCTGACTGCTAGTGGATCCCCGACGTGTGGTGGTCCTGGACCCAGAAGTTGATTGTCCACGTCCAGTGCCCGAGTGTGTGTGGCTGTCAAGGGTCTGGCCGTGCTGTGACTGGTGTCTTCCTCCTGTGCTCTGTCCGGACGATCCATGGGATGAGCCGTGGTGTCCCCGAGAGGATGTGTCTGCATGATGCCCAGAGGTGTCTGTGGAGCGTCGATGACTATGTCCCTGTCTTGTTCCTACATCAGAGTCTGGGTGTCCCTGGGTGTCCTCAGGGTGCCCATGCTGGGCTCTGTGCCCTCCATGGGAGCCAGAGTGTGTAGAACTGTCTCTTGACTGGCCATGGCTAGACCCAGGGTGTTGTCTTGAAGTGGATCCAGTCCTGTCATGGGTAGAGCCAGACTGTCTACCTGAATTGCCAGAGTGTCCTTCGCTGTCGCTGGCCTGACTGCTAGTGGATCCCCGACGTGTGGTGGTCCTGGACCCAGAAGCTGATTGTCCACGTCCAGTGCCCGAGTGTGTGTGGCTGTCAAGGGTCTGGCCGTGCTGTGACTGGTGTCTTCCTCCTGTGCTCTGTCCGGACGATCCACGGGATGAGCCGTGGTGTCCCCGAGAGGATGTGTCTGCATGATGCCCAGAGGTGTCTGTGGAGCGTCGATGACTATGTCCCTGTCTTGTTCCTGCATCAGAGTCTGGGTGTCCCTGGGTGTCCTCAGGGTGCCCATGCTGGGCTCCGTGCCCTCCATGGGAGCCAGAGTGTGTAAAACTGTCTCTTGACTGGCCATGGCTAGACCCAGGGTGTTGTCTTGAAGTGGATCCAGTCCTGTCATGGGTAGAGCCAGACTGTCTACCTGAATGGCCAGAGTGTCCTTCGCTGTCGCTGGCCTGACTGCTAGTGGATCCCCGACGTGTGGTGGTCCTGGACCCAGAAGCTGATTGTCCACGTCCAGTGCCCGAGTGTGTGTGGCTGTCAAGGGTCTGGCCGTGCTGTGACTGGTGTCTTCCTCCTGTGCTCTGTCCGGACGATCCACGGGATGAGCCGTGGTGTCCCCGAGAGGATGTGTCTGCATGATGCCCAGAGGTGTCTGTGGAGCGTCGATGACTATGTCCCTGTCTTGTTCCTACATCAGAGTCTGGGTGTCCCTGGGTGTCCTCAGGGTGCCCATGCTGGGCTCTCTGCCCTCCATGGGAGCCAGAGTGTGTAGAACTGTCTCTTGACTGGCCATGGCTAGACCCAGGGTGTTGTCTTGAAGTGGATCCAGTCCTGTCATGGGTAGAGCCAGACTGTCTACCTGAATTGCCAGAGTGTCCTTCGCTGTCGCTGGCCTGACTGCTAGTGGATCCCCGACGTGTGGTGGTCCTGGACCCAGAAGCTGATTGTCCACGTCCAGTGCCCGAGTGTGTGTGGCTGTCAAGGGTCTGGCCGTGCTGTGACTGGTGTCTTCCTCCTGTGCTCTGTCCGGACGATCCACGGGATGAACCGTGGTGTCCCCGAGAGGATGTGTCTGCATGATGCCTAGAGGTGTCTGTGGAGCGTCGATGACTATGTCCCTGTCTTGTTCCTGCATCAGAGTCTGGGTGTCCCTGGGTGTCCTCAGGGTGCCCATGCTGGGCTCTGTGCCCTCCATGGGAGCCAGAGTGTGTAGAACTGTCTCTTGACTGGCCATGGCTAGACCCAGGGTGTTGTCTTGAAGTGGATCCAGTCCTGTCATGGGTAGAGCCAGACTGTCTACCTGAATGGCCAGAGTGTCCTTCGCTGTCGCTGGCCTGACTGCTAGTGGATCCCCGACGTGTGGTGGTCCTGGACCCAGAAGCTGATTGTCCACGTCCAGTGCCCGAGTGTGTGTGGCTGTCAAGGGTCTGGCCGTGCTGTGACTGGTGTCTTCCTCCTGTGCTCTGTCCGGACGATCCACGGGATGAGCCGTGGTGTCCCCGAGAGGATGTGTCTGCATGATGCCTAGAGGTGTCTGTGGAGCGTCGATGACTATGTCCCTGTCTTGTTCCTGCATCAGAGTCTGGGTGTCCCTGGGTGTACTCAGGGTTCCCATGCTGGGCTCTATGCCATCCATGGGAGCCAGAGTGTGGAGAACTGTCTCTTGACTGGCCATGGCTAGACCCAGGGTGTTGTCTTGAAGTGGATCCAGTCCTGTCATGGGTAGAGCCAGACTGTCTACCTGAATTGCCAGAGTGTCCTTCGCTGTCGCTGGCCTGACTGCTAGTGGATCCCCGACGTGTGGTGGTCCTGGACCCAGAAGCTGATTGTCCACGTCCAGTGCCCGAGTGTGTGTGGCTGTCAAGGGTCTGGCCGTGCTGTGACTGGTGTCTTCCTCCTGTGCTCTGTCCGGACGATCCACGGGATGAGCCGTGGTGTCCCTGAGAGGATGTGTCTGCATGATGCCCAGAGGTGTCTGTGGAGCGTCGATGACTATGTCCCTGTCTTGTTCCTGCATCAGAGTCTGGGTGTCCCTGGGTGTCCTCAGGGTGCCCATGCTGGGCTCTGTGCCCTCCATGGGAGCCAGAGTGTGTAGAACTGTCTCTTGACTGGCCATGGCTAGACCCAGGGTGTTGTCTTGAAGTGGATCCAGTCCTGTCATGGGTAGAGCCAGACTGTCTACCTGAATTGCCAGAGTGTCCTTCGCTGTCGCTGGCCTGACTGCTAGTGGATCCCCGACGTGTGGTGGTCCTGGACCCAGAAGCTGATTGTCCACGTCCAGTGCCCGAGTGTGTGTGGCTGTCAAGGGTCTGGCCGTGCTGTGACTGGTGTCTTCCTCCTGTGCTCTGTCCGGACGATCCACGGGATGAACCGTGGTGTCCCCGAGAGGATGTGTCTGCATGATGCCTAGAGGTGTCTGTGGAGCGTCGATGACTATGTCCCTGTCTTGTTCCTGCATCAGAGTCTGGGTGTCCCTGGGTGTCCTCAGGGTGCCCATGCTGGGCTCTGTGCCCTCCATGGGAGCCAGAGTGTGTAGAACTGTCTCTTGACTGGCCATGGCTAGACCCAGGGTGTTGTCTTGAAGTGGATCCAGTCCTGTCATGGGTAGAGCCAGACTGTCTACCTGAATGGCCAGAGTGTCCTTCGCTGTCGCTGGCCTGACTGCTAGTGGATCCCCGACGTGTGGTGGTCCTGGACCCAGAAGCTGATTGTCCACGTCCAGTGCCCGAGTGTGTGTGGCTGTCAAGGGTCTGGCCGTGCTGTGACTGGTGTCTTCCTCCTGTGCTCTGTCCGGACGATCCACGGGATGAGCCGTGGTGTCCCCGAGAGGATGTGTCTGCATGATGCCCAGAGGTGTCTGTGGAGCGTCGATGACTATGTCCCTGTCTTGTTCCTACATCAGAGTCTGGGTGTCCCTGGGTGTCCTCAGGGTGCCCATGCTGGGCTCTCTGCCCTCCATGGGAGCCAGAGTGTGTAGAACTGTCTCTTGACTGGCCATGGCTAGACCCAGGGTGTTGTCTTGAAGTGGATCCAGTCCTGTCATGGGTAGAGCCAGACTGTCTACCTGAATGGCCAGAGTGTCCTTCGCTGTCGCTGGCCTGACTGCTAGTGGATCCCCGACGTGTGGTGGTCCTGGACCCAGAAGCTGATTGTCCACGTCCAGTGCCCGAGTGTGTGTGGCTGTCAAGGGTCTGGCCGTGCTGTGACTGGTGTCTTCCTCCTGTGCTCTGTCCGGACGATCCACGGGATGAGCCGTGGTGTCCCCGAGAGGATGTGTCTGCATGATGCCTAGAGGTGTCTGTGGAGCGTCGATGACTATGTCCCTGTCTTGTTCCTGCATCAGAGTCTGGGTGTCCCTGGGTGTACTCAGGGTTCCCATGCTGGGCTCTATGCCATCCATGGGAGCCAGAGTGTGTAGAACTGTCTCTTGACTGGCCATGGCTAGACCCAGGGTGTTGTCTTGAAGTGGATCCAGTCCTGTCATGGGTAGAGCCAGACTGTCTACCTGAATTGCCAGAGTGTCCTTCGCTGTCGCTGGCCTGACTGCTAGTGGATCCCCGACGTGTGGTGGTCCTGGACCCAGAAGCTGATTGTCCACGTCCAGTGCCCGAGTGTGTGTGGCTGTCAAGGGTCTGGCCGTGCTGTGACTGGTGTCTTCCTCCTGTGCTCTGTCCGGACGATCCACGGGATGAGCCGTGGTGTCCCCGAGAGGATGTGTCTGCATGATGCCCAGAGGTGTCTGTGGAGCGTCGATGACTATGTCCCTGTCTTGTTCCTGCATCAGAGTCTGGGTGTCCCTGGGTGTACTCAGGGTTCCCATGCTGGGCTCTATGCCCTCCATGGGAGCCAGAGTGTGGAGAACTGTCTCTTGACTGGCCATGGCTAGACCCAGGGTGTTGTCTTGAAGTGGATCCAGTCCTGTCATGGGTAGAGCCAGACTGTCTACCTGAATTGCCAGAGTGTCCTTCGCTGTCGCTGGCCTGACTGCTAGTGGATCCCCGACGTGTGGTGGTCCTGGACCCAGAAGCTGATTGTCCACGTCCAGTGCCCGAGTGTGTGTGGCTGTCAAGGGTCTGGCCGTGCTGTGACTGGTGTCTTCCTCCTGTGCTCTGTCCGGACGATCCACGGGATGAGCCGTGGTGTCCCTGAGAGGATGTGTCTGCATGATGCCCAGAGGTGTCTGTGGAGCGTCGATGACTATGTCCCTGTCTTGTTCCTGCATCAGAGTCTGGGTGTCCCTGGGTGTCCTCAGGGTGCCCATGCTGGGCTCTCTGCCCTCCATGGGAGCCAGAGTGTGTAGAACTGTCTCTTGACTGGCCATGGCTAGACCCAGGGTGTTGTCTTGAAGTGGATCCAGTCCTGTCATGGGTAGAGCCAGACTGTCTACCTGAATTGCCAGAGTGTCCTTCGCTGTCGCTGGCCTGACTGCTAGTGGATCCCCGACGTGTGGTGGTCCTGGACCCAGAAGCTGATTGTCCACGTCCAGTGCCCGAGTGTGTGTGGCTGTCAAGGGTCTGGCCGTGCTGTGACTGGTGTCTTCCTCCTGTGCTCTGTCCGGACGATCCACGGGATGAGCCGTGGTGTCCCCGAGAGGATGTGTCTGCATGATGCCTAGAGGTGTCTGTGGAGCGTCGATGACTATGTCCCTGTCTTGTTCCTGCATCAGAGTCTGGGTGTCCCTGGGTGTCCTCAGGGTGCCCATTCTGGGCTCTGTGCCCTCCATGGGAGCCAGAGTGTGTAGAACTGTCTCTTGACTGGCCATGGCTAGACCCAGGGTGTTGTCTTGAAGTGGATCCAGTCCTGTCATGGGTAGAGCCGGACTGTCTACCTGAATGGCCAGAGTGTCCTTCGCTGTCGCTGGCCTGACTGCTAGTGGATCCCCGACGTGTGGTGGTCCTGGACCCAGAAGCTGATTGTCCACGTCCAGTGCCCGAGTGTGTGTGGCTGTCAAGGGTCTGGCCGTGCTGTGACTGGTGTCTTCCTCCTGTGCTCTGTCCGGACGATCCACGGGATGAGCCGTGGTGTCCCCGAGAGGATGTGTCTGCATGATGCCCAGAGGTGTCTGTGGAGCGTCGATGACTATGTCCCTGTCTTGTTCCTGCATCAGAGTCTGGGTGTCCCTGGGTGTCCTCAGGGTGCCCATGCTGGGCTCTCTGCCCTCCATGGGAGCCAGAGTGTGTAGAACTGTCTCTTGACTGGCCATGGCTAGACCCAGGGTGTTGTCTTGAAGTGGATCCAGTTCTGTCATGGGTAGAGCCAGACTGTCTACCTGAATGGCCAGAGTGTCCTTCGCTGTCGCTGGCCTGACTGCTAGTGGATCCCCGACGTGTGGTGGTCCTGGACCCAGAAGCTGATTGTCCACGTCCAGTGCCCGAGTGTGTGTGGCTGTCAAGGGTCTGGCCGTGCTGTGACTGGTGTCTTCCTCCTGTGCTCTGTCCGGACGATCCACGGGATGAGCCGTGGTGTCCCCGAGAGGATGTGTCTGCATGATGCCCAGAGGTGTCTGTGGAGCGTCGATGACTATGTCCCTGTCTTGTTCCTACATCAGAGTCTGGGTGTCCCTGGGTGTCCTCAGGGTGCCCATGCTGGGCTCTGTGCCCTCCATGGGAGCCAGAGTGTGTAGAACTGTCTCTTGACTGGCCATGGCTAGACCCAGGGTGTTGTCTTGAAGTGGATCCAGTCCTGTCATGGGTAGAGCCAGACTGTCTACCTGAATGGCCAGAGTGTCCTTCGCTGTCGCTGGCCTGATTGCTAGTGGATCCCCGACGTGTGGTGGTCCTGGACCCAGAAGCTGATTGTCCACGTCCAGTGCCCGAGTGTGTGTGGCTGTCAAGGGTCTGGCCGTGCTGTGACTGGTGTCTTCCTCCTGTGCTCTGTCCGGACGATCCACGGGATGAGCCGTGGTGTCCCCGAGAGGATGTGTCTGCATGATGCCTAGAGGTGTCTGTGGAGCGTCGATGACTATGTCCCTGTCTTGTTCCTGCATCAGAGTCTGGGTGTCCCTGGGTGTACTCAGGGTTCCCATGCTGGGCTCTATGCCATCCATGGGAGCCAGAGTGTGGAGAACTGTCTCTTGACTGGCCATGGCTAGATCCAGGGTGTTGTCTTGAAGTGGATCCAGTCCTGTCATGGGTAGAGCCAGACTGTCTACCTGAATTGCCAGAGTGTCCTTCGCTGTCGCTGGCCTGACTGCTAGTGGATCCCCGACGTGTGGTGGTCCTGGACCCAGAAGCTGATTGTCCACGTCCAGTGCCCGAGTGTGTGTGGCTGTCAAGGGTCTGGCCGTGCTGTGACTGGTGTCTTCCTCCTGTGCTCTGTCCGGACGATCCACGGGATGAACCGTGGTGTCCCCGAGAGGATGTGTCTGCATGATGCCTAGAGGTGTCTGTGGAGCGTCGATGACTATGTCCCTGTCTTGTTCCTGCATCAGAGTCTGGGTGTCCCTGGGTGTCCTCAGGGTGCCCATGCTGGGCTCTGTGCCCTCCATGGGAGCCAGAGTGTGTAGAACTGTCTCTTGACTGGCCATGGCTAGACCCAGGGTGTTGTCTTGAAGTGGATCCAGTCCTGTCATGGGTAGAGCCAGACTGTCTACCTGAATGGCCAGAGTGTCCTTCGCTGTCGCTGGCCTGACTGCTAGTGGATCCCCGACGTGTGGTGGTCCTGGACCCAGAAGCTGATTGTCCACGTCCAGTGCCCGAGTGTGTGTGGCTGTCAAGGGTCTGGCCGTGCTGTGACTGGTGTCTTCCTCCTGTGCTCTGTCCGGACGATCCACGGGATGAGCCGTGGTGTCCCCGAGAGGATGTGTCTGCATGATGCCTAGAGGTGTCTGTGGAGCGTCGATGACTATGTCCCTGTCTTGTTCCTGCATCAGAGTCTGGGTGTCCCTGGGTGTACTCAGGGTTCCCATGCTGGGCTCTATGCCATCCATGGGAGCCAGAGTGTGGAGAACTGTCTCTTGACTGGCCATGGCTAGACCCAGGGTGTTGTCTTGAAGTGGATCCAGTCCTGTCATGGGTAGAGCCAGACTGTCTACCTGAATTGCCAGAGTGTCCTTCGCTGTCGCTGGCCTGACTGCTAGTGGATCCCCGACGTGTGGTGGTCCTGGACCCAGAAGCTGATTGTCCACGTCCAGTGCCCGAGTGTGTGTGGCTGTCAAGGGTCTGGCTGTGCTGTGACTGGTGTCTTCCTCCTGTGCTCTGTCCGGACGATCCACGGGATGAGCCGTGGTGTCCCCGAGAGGATGTGTCTGCATGATGCCTAGAGGTGTCTGTGGAGCGTCGATGACTATGTCCCTGTCTTGTTCCTGCATCAGAGTCTGGGTGTCCCTGGGTGTCCTCAGGGTGCCCATGCTGGGCTCTGTGCCCTCCATGGGAGCCAGAGTGTGTAGAACTGTCTCTTGACTGGCCATGGCTAGACCCAGGGTGTTGTCTTGAAGTGGATCCAGTCCTGTCATGGGTAGAGCCAGACTGTCTACCTGAATGGCCAGAGTGTCCTTCGCTGTCGCTGGCCTGACTGCTAGTGGATCCCCGACGTGTGGTGGTCCTGGACCCAGAAGCTGATTGTCCACGTCCAGTGCCCGAGTGTGTGTGGCTGTCAAGGGTCTGGCCGTGCTGTGACTGGTGTCTTCCTCCTGTGCTCTGTCCGGACGATCCACGGGATGAGCCGTGGTGTCCCTGAGAGGATGTGTCTGCATGTTTTGGGCCTGACTGCCTAGAGGTGTCCGTGGAGCGTCGATGACTATGTCCCTGTCTTGTTCTGCTATCAAAATCTGCTTTTTCTCCCTTTCCATCACTCTTTGAACGCCTGGTTTTTCTCTCTTTTTCTTCTTCCTCCTCGTTTTCCTTTATATCACGTTCTTCGTGTTTCTTTTGGTGTCCATTCTTTTTCTGTTTTTGTCCTGATGATCGGAAGTTCTTTCTCATTTTAGAGTCATTGAATGCTTTGGCCAAATTGAGTAACATTAGAAAAAATTCTTCAATGTCTAATTTTTGGTTGTGGTCTATGTCAAGGATGTCCATGATGACTTCAGCAGTGTCTACGTCATCTGGATTCTGTATAGAAGATATATAGGATTGCAGGTCCATTAGGCCGACTTACATGGTTAAATAAATAATGAAAAGTCAATTTAGAGAATATGAATTTTTTGCTACTTAAATTGAAAACAAATCATGTGTCTTTAATATAGTTTAGATTATTGTGACTCAGGAGAAAATTAGAGGTAATAGAGGAAAAGAAACAAATATTAAATACATGGGATGACATGAAAAGATTTGTTGGCCCACTTCCTACTTCAAATATCAAAAGATTATAAAGCCAATACTTGAACTATCTTTTAAATATACTATCTTAATATTCATTATGTAGGAAGAATATTGTGAAGGTCTAACTAACTGGTATTCTTTTCGTTGTCATTAAATATTCATATTATTATCCTTCATAGAGGGAATGTGTATGGTGGATATGAAGACATAAAGGGAGAAAACAAATTTATATCCGTTTTGATATGGGATCAACTCAATTTTGTGAGATTATTAATGAATAATGAGGTGTTATACTCTAATTCTGGCAAATATCTTTACCTTCAGGATTGGGCGAAACTCTACTTCCAGAAGTTCCTTCAGCTCTTCTTTGCTCAGTGTTTCAGTTTCTTTGTCTTTGTCTGAATATTGATGGAATAGGTCAATGATGGCAATGATGTTTTCCAGAAGAGTAGACATCCTTTGGAAATATAGCTGAACCTAGAAAGAAATAAAAGTGTACTTTTCATCATATCAATTATTATTGTGATTTTTCACATTTTAAACCTACATTATCGCCTAAAGTTCATCTTTTAAAATGGAAGTTATCTCTGAAAACTTTACTTTATTATGTACATAGTGAAAATGAACAGAGAGTTTGAATGAATTATGAAACCTGTCTATTTCTTGTTCATGAACCCATTTATAGCAGGATTTAGATAGTTTCATAGATATCACTGTGCCCAAGATAAGACGATCCTTTTTTCCTACAGTAAGATAGTAGGAAGCCACTAATCAAAAGCAGCAGAATTTACTCATATCAATTAGCTGAAAATCAATTCTCTAGAAGCAAATCTGCTAATTGATCATTTTGTTGAGAGATAATGTCCTGAAAACCAAGTGACTCTGATTGAATATTCTTGCCTCCCCCCCCCCCCCCCCCCCCGCAACAACTCACGATGGTTAAAATATTTTCAATTGGATGGTATGACTTTAATGGCTTTTCCATAATATTTTTTTTTGTTGTTGTTGTTGATTGGCTTTTACTTTGCCACTTAAGGAATAGCATAACATATAGAGTTTTGGAGATATTTTAGACCAATCAGAAATTTTGTGGTAAACGACATATTTGGGTTAAAAATGGATAACCAGGAAGAAACTAACCTTATTGATTAAAGACTTTGAGGTAAAGGGAGTTGTGCAGTGTATCTAACATGGGCATCAGCTTTTCATATTTGCAATATAGAAAAACAAACAAACAAAAAAAACCCAACTCCAGAACATTTGGTCAAATGAGGAGTGATATAAATTAAAAGTCAGAGATGTAGGCAGGGTCAGATAATGAAGATCTTCTAAATAGGGTAGTGTAGGTGTATTTTATTCTAGGAGTGATAGGAAGTTACTAGATGGTCTGTTATGATTCAGTTTAAAAAAGACCACTTTGTGCCTTGGCTTATAAGTTGTTTCAGAGTAACCTTTCTTTGACAACAACTAAAAAGCTGGTGTGTGTGTGTGTGTGTGTGTGTGTGTGTGTGTGTGTGTTATGTTTGTGTGAGTGTGTGCAGGTATCAGAATGCTATCAAGATTGTGATAATTATTGAGACTACATTTAACTTTGAAGTGAGGTACAGTATTGGGGGAGATTTTTAAATAATGAGATTTTCTAAAACTAATAAAAGTTATCAGGCATATATTCAAAATATATTATCAATTTCAAGCAGATATATAAAAGAAACCCATACCTACATATTTGATTTAAAAAATTCAAGCTGTTGAACACTTAAAGAATGAGGAAATCTTACAAGCAGCTAGAGAAACACATGTTGTCCTGAAAGGAACAACAATAAGACTGACATCTGGCTTTTAAAATGAAACCATGGCAGCCAGAAGACAACAAAATGTTATCTTCATATTTCTGAAAGAAACAAAAACACTACTTCTAAAAGATATATGCATCTTTGTGTTCATTGCAGCATTATTTACAATAGCCAAGAAGATATGGAAGCAACCACGGTGCCTAATGATCAATGAATGCATAAAGAATATATGGTACAGATACATAATGAAATATTAATCAGCATTAAAAAAAGGAATGAAATCTTGTCATTTTCAACAATAGGAATGAATTTAGAGGGTAATTTTTCCAAGTAATATATGTCAGTCAGAGAAAGACCAATAACATATGATTTCATTTATTTGTGGAATCAATAAAAAAACCACAACAAATGAACAAACCAAACCAAACAGAAACAGATCCATAGATACAGAGAAAAAACTGATAATTGCCAAAGGGGAGGAAGGTGGGTAGATGGTGAAAAAAGATGGGGATATAAACTAGATTTGGGCTCTAGCAAAGAGTTTTTTTTTTCCTCACCATTTCTATTATTCTCATCATCTCTTACCTAAAACTACAGCCCACCCATCTCTCTGCTCTGATTTTTGTGATTTTATTATCACTTTTCCCACTTAGCAGCCCAAAATGGTATTTTTAAAATGTGCCCTCAATTGTGTTACTGCCCCAGTCAATGACTTCTCATGTACTTAAAATGATGTACAAACTCTCCTATGCTCCTTCTTACATGATCTACCCTAGTCTGTCTTTCTGACATTATATGCTCCTGTTCCTCTAGTTAAATATACTCTAGGCACACTAGCTTCTTTTTTTTCTTCTTCTTCAAAAAAATGTACTTCTGCTTTAAAAACCTTGAACTTTGCCTTGACTTGTTCTTTTTCTCTTTAAGATCTCAGCTCAAAAGATAATTCTCCAGAGAGGTATTTCCTGGCCATTCTTTTCCTGCACCTAAGTTCTCTCCTCCTATTACTCTACCTTATCACTCACTTATTTCCTTCATTATTTTTATTACTCTGTGAAATTTTATTTATTCATTACTTACTGAAAGTCTTCTCCTACTAAAATGTAACCTCTCAAGAGTAGGGAGTTATCTTTTTAAAAAAATATATATTTTATTGATTTTGTACAGAGAGGAAGGGAGAGAGATAGAGAGTCAGAAACATCGATGAGAGAGAGTCATCGACCAGCTGCCTCTTGCACACCCCCAACCGGGGATATGCCCGCAACCAGGGTACATGCCCTTGACCGGAATCGAACCCGGGACCCTTCAGTCCCCAAGCCGACGCTCTATCCATTGAGCCAAACCGAACCCGGCAAAGTAGGGAGATTATCTTGTTCACTGTTACATAATCAGCTAAAAGCAGCACTTGGCAAAATAAGGTAGTTAATATACATTTGTTGAATGAATAAATGGAAACTATAGTAATATGAAGAGAATACTAAATAGCCTCATAGAAAAAAAACTATGCCCTTATTTTTCTTCTGTATTGAAATAAACTTTTAGTAACAGTTCCAGCAAAGGTAAAGAACCCCGTACACAAACCATATCAAACTCGTGGCCCACGGGCTGCATGCCCGATTTATCTGGCCCATGTTAGCCTTTGAGTTTGACATGCTTGTTGCACACCCAGAACTTTTTGCCTTAGAATACAAGAACATCCAGAATTCTATCATGATTAACACCAAGTAGGCAAAGCTAGATGCATCCCCTCTTACTTACTTCACCAGAAGAGCAAGTAGAAGGCAGCCAGAAGGAGCTTGCTGGGTGCTGAAGTTCTGTGATGATAACCTTTTTATATCCGCCTGTCCAAGGAGGAGCCATCGTTTGTAGGTTGGTCTGATTCATTTCTAACCAAACCCAGACCCGCCCACATCTCCACCTCTATTTCTCTAGTGTTTACTTCTTAACTTCCTCACGTACTCATCTGTACTTGATTGATGAAGTTCCAAAATTATATGAACCCCATATATTGGAGACTTTATAGAAGGTTTCCTTTGGATTATAGGTTCTTTGTGTGCAGTGTTCACACTTACTTTTAAAAAATTGACTTGGTAGGTGCTTGATAAATATCTATTGATAAATGCACTATCTTATGCTTGTCCTTAAAGGGATAGAATATGTATTCACGGGAAACTTTAAGCTATGGTAGGAAGACATCCCAATCACCTACCTGCACTAAAACAAGTCCTCATCCAAGGACATCCTTAGAGAAAGAAAGGGGAGAGAGAGAGATATCAGTGCAAGAGAGAAACACCGATTGGTTGCCTTCCATACACTCCCCAACTGGGAATTGAACCTGCATCCCAGGTATATTCCCTGACTGGGAACCAAACTGACAACCTTCCAATACACAGGACCATGGTCAACCAACTGAGCAACTCCGATCAGGCTGCATGTCCCTTTTTATTAATGAATTCCATTGCTGGATACTGGGAGAACTTGCCATGGGTTGAATGTTCTTTTAGAAATTATGATGAAGGGAGAGAAAAGAGCAAATTTAATTTTGTCTTTTCAGAAGAGAGCAAGACAATGAGCTTTTGGATTATAAGTGGTAATCACTAGGATCTAGCATGAGTTTATTAGGCAAGAATCATTAGTCTATTTTACATTGTTTTCAAGGTTATCACATTGGTGTATCACAGACATTTTCCACATCTTCCTATGGGTTAAAACATGCTTTTAAAAAATTTATTCTCATAAATATACAGGAGACTCTTATTTTGACCTTGCTCTTGGTTTCCAGACTATGTCGGACCTTATATCTTTATTTGAATGTGTCTTAGTTACCTCTGTTCATAGTGTTTAAATCTGAACTTATTCTCATGCCCTATAACAAAATGTACTGTCTTACAGATGCCCACATACTGGTTAATTTCATCCCCATCCTCTGATTTTCTCAAGCTACACCAAGTAATTTTTTACTACTCTCCATTCTTTACCTCCATAATCATGCCACATCATGTAAACTGTACCTGGCCTTATATTCTTTGTATGTGGGCCTATTCCCTATATCCAGTGCTGCAATTTTAATTCTGGACTCACCATCTTTCAACGGAGCATTTGTAACTAGTATCATAACTAGCCCCTCTACTAATAGGCTGCCTGAATCACCTAATGTCATCCTGTCATTCCCTCCATGTCTTCTCCTTGCCTATAGAATTCCAAACTGCTTTACTGTCATACAAACTCCTTCACAATAGGTACAAATCTGTATCTTTCTTTTAAAAAAAATATATTTTATTGATTTTTTACAGAGAGGAAGGGGGAGGGATAGAGAGTTAGAAACATCGATGAGAGAGAAACATTGATCAGCTGCCTCTTGCACCGCCCCCCCCCCCCCTGCCACTGGGGATGTGCCCGCAACCAAGGTACATGCCCTTGACCAGAATCGAACCCGGGACCTTTCAGTCCGAAGGCCGACACTCTAATCCACTGAGCCAAACCGGTTTCGGCCAAATCTGTATCTTTCTTGATGCTTCTCTTATCACCTCTATTTTATGTGAAAGTAACTCTAGACTGATTAAAATTCCTTGGATGAAACTTCTGTGGTCCACCACTGTTCACAATCTCTGAATGCTATCCTTATTAACTGGACAGTCCCTCAACCTTACCTTCTCTTCATCTTTG